GCTTGTTTGTGCTGATAGTTTCGTTGGCAACCTCAATCGCATACTTGGGTTTTGGAACAGGCGCTGTGCCGATCAAGCCTCATGATATCCAGAATAGTGGACAGAAGTAGGACCTGGGTCCCAGGGCTCTAAATCGCTCCTTCCCTGCAAACGGGGAGAGAGGTCAATGTGTGCTTTCATCGGTCCTGCCAGCTGCACTGAGGCGGCGCTGTCGCCGTGGATTTTGGGGCCCTGTTCACCGGGCATGTGTCAAAGTGTGCAGCAGTAGACTTGCTGTGGAAACGCAGCCCCGGGCGATGCACACCCCAGACTAACCAGCCGAGCTCGCACCATCCAAGTTCGAACGGTTCATCCGCACGTATACGAAGCTCTTGCTTAAGTATGTGCAGGGCATCGAGGGTTATGCCTGACACCCGAATGTCAAAGGCAAGGTGAACCAGGTTGTGTGTTCCGGCTGTTTGAAAGCCGGGGCGGCCCTCGGCCGAGCTTTGCAGATGTACCATGAACGACCGGTTCTCCTTTTTCAGCGTCCCTGTGCTAAGAAACACGTGCCGTACGGCCACCCAGGTGCATCATCAAGCCAATTTGATGAGAGACACCGGATCACTGCATCTGCGAAGTGCTTCCTCTCTGTTCAGCCTGCTCCTGTCAGGTAGTCAGTCAGGTAGTCAGGTAGTCAGTCAGGTAGTCTCGGGTGGTTTCAGCGGTCTTGTGGTTGTCAGGAGGGGGTCGTCTGTGACAGTGTAGCGGGTGCTCGTCCGGGCTTGTTTTTTTCTCTACGCAGGGCCGAGCCATCCCGCATCCTGCCAGTCCGCACAATTTCTTCGGGTCGTCCTGGACCGTTGGAGACAGCCGCCTTGCGACGAGGATCGGAGAATGCTGCATGTTTGAGGCCTTTCTGTCGGCACTGCTATGTTGAGCACTCTCCTGAGTGTGTCCTCGACGAGACGGTGAAAGCCGAATCTTTCACGATGTCTCTGAAAAGCCGGGCTGCCCCTGATTGTGTGCCGGCGCCAATGGAGCAATCCACCTTGCATCTGGGAGCCTTGAGCCAGCCAGGGGCCACGTTGGACGCTGACGCGAGTTGGGCCATGGCAGTGGCATTGTGCACCCCGATTGAGACCCTCTTCGACTTGCAGCTTCGCATCTCGAGGCTTTGCATTCCACACGGCCGAGAGCGCCGAGCTCGCACTTTGTTCGTGCACAGGGCCCGGCGAAGTGCAGCGGGCGCTGAGGCAAGCAGCGGCACTGCAGCTTCGGAAGGCATCCAGAGGCTGTTCGCTTCAGTATGCTCCACTCAGGTAGTCGCCGGTGGCCTTGATGGTGGCATGGTTGGCAGGCGGCGGTGTCCCGAGAGCTTGTCGGGATTGCCGACCTGGCTGCGCGTAAAGCCGTGCAGCGCGTGATTGCCGGAGAACGCCGTGTGCAGCATCGCAGCATTGGGGTTCGGACATGTTCGGACCCGCACCAGTGGAGGCACCGTCAAGCAAGATTGCTTGGCTTTCGTGATGTCTCTGAAAAGTCGGGCTGCCCCTGATTGTGTGCCGGCGCCAATGGAGCAATCCACCTTGCATCTGGGAGCTTTGAGCCAGCCAGGGGCCACATTGGACGCTGACGCGAGTTGGGCCATGGCAGTGGCATTGTGCACCCCGATTGAGACCCTCTTCGACTTGCAGCTTCGCATCTCGAGGCTTTGCATTCCACACGGCCGAGAGCGCCGAGCTCGCACTTTGTTCGTGCACAGGGCCCGACGAAGTGCAGCGGGCGCTGAGGCAAGCAGGGGCAGTGCGCCTTTGGGGAGCATCCAATACCTGTTCGCTTCAGTATGCTCCACTCAGGTAGTCGCCGGTGGCCTTGATGGTTGCATGGTTGGCAGGCGGCGGTGTCCCGAGAGCTTGTCGGGATTGCCGACCTGGCTGCGCGTAAAGCCGTGCAACGCGTGATTGCCCGAGAACGCCGCGTGCAGCATCGCAGCATTGGGGTTCGGACATGTTCGGACCCTCACCAGTGGAGGCAACGTCAAGCGATGCCTGATGAGCCGCACTGCATGCAAGATTGCTTGTCTTTCATGATGTCTCTGAAAAGTCGGGCTGCCCCACCTTGCATCTGAGAGCCTTGAGCCAGCCAGGAGCCACATTGGACGCTGACGCTTGTTGGGCCATGGCAGTGGCATTGTGCATCCCGATTGAGACCCTCTTCGACTTGCAGCTTCGCATCTCGAGGCTTTGTATGTTACATGGCCGCGAGTGCCTTGCTTGCATCTTGCGCCTGCAGCGGGCCCGGCGAAGTGCAGCGGCGCTGAGGCAAGCAGGGGCAGTGCGCCTTTGGGGAGCATCCAATACCTGTTCGCTTCAGTATGCTCCACTCAGGTAGTCGCCGGTGGCCTTGATGGTTGCATGGTTGGCAGGCGGCGGTGTCCCGAGAGCTTGTCGGGATTGCCGACCTGGCTGCGTGTAAAGCCATTCAACGCCTGATTGCCCGAGAACGCCTCCTGCAGCATCGCAGCATTGGAGTTCGAACCCTCGCCAGCGAACCCCATGCCTGATGAGCCGCGCTGCGTCATTGCGGCAGGTGATCTCATGTCACTCGCACCAGGCAGCTGCCTCCATCTATTTTCAGGGCTTCTTTAGTCTTGCGGTTGGCATGCAAAGGTCGTCCGTGAGCATGTAGGGAATGCTCGTCCTAATTGCATGCAAGACAAAGGCCTAATCAGCGCCCGCAGCCCCGGGCGAAGCACACCTTGTACCAACCAGCCGAGCTCGCAGCATCCGAGTTCGAACTGTGGATCCACACAGAAACGGAGTTATTGCTTAAATATGTGGAGGGCAGCGAGCATACCGCATACCGTATACCTGACACAATGTCAAAGGCAAGGTCAGCCAGGTTGTGTTTTTTTGATGTTTGAAAGCGGGGCGGCCCTCGGCCGAGCCTTGCTGACACCAGTTCTCCTCTTTGAACGTCCCTGTGCTAAGAAACATGTGCCGTACGTTCTCTCTGTTCAGCCTGCTCCAGTCAAGTAGTCCGTCAAGTTGTCAGTCAGGTAGTTTCAGGTGGCTTTACCGGTCTGGCATGGTCTTGTGGTTGGCAGGCGAGGGTTCTCTGTGAGTGTGTTGGGGTTGCTTGTCCTAACTGCATGCAAGACCACGGCTTAATGAGTTGCCGCAGCGCTGGGCGAAGTGAACCTGGGCACAACCCGCCAACCTCGCAGCATGCGAGTTCGGATCGTGGACCCCCTTACGCCACCAGGCAAGCGCATCATCGGCCCAGCTGCCCTGCATCCGGATAGCTATTTCACATTGGCACTGCGCTGCGACTTCATGCCACATGCAGCAGGCAGTCGTCTCTGTTCATGTCGTGGCTTCAGCGATCGCGACATCTGCAGGCGAGGTGGCTGGCCGCTCCAAATGCACGCAGGACCTAGGCTTGATCAGCCCTGGCAGCCCCACGTCTTAGTACGACCAGCCAAGCTCGCAGCATCCGAATTCGGAGTTCGGTGACCCTTACTTCCAGCGCCACTTCGAGTCGTCGTCGGGCAGCTATCCTTCAATATCTCTCATCTCGCTCCGGTCAGGTAGTCTCAGGCAGCGTCAGCGATCGCACGATCGGGAGGCGCAGGTCCTTTCGTGAGCGTTTCGGGGGTGCCGATCCCCACCTGCGTGCAAGCCCAAGCGTAATCAGCTCCGGCAGCAACAGACGAACAACTCATTGGCACAACCAGCCAATGTCGCCGCATTCGAGTTCGGATTTCGCACGTGTTGCAGGGTGTAGTATTGCAAGGGTGGCATGCTCTGTTCGTCTCGGGTTCGTCGCCTTTTCTGGAATGTGCTCAGCGTTGGAGGAAGCGATCAGCATCCGAGTCGTTCATTCAAACCGACCAAAGCCGACCGTGTCTACCTGCTCCAAGATCGGTTGGTTTGCTTTTGTTTTCAGGATGTCTGCGAAAAGCTGGACTGCCCCTGCACACTCTGCCAGCAATCAACGGTACCTGCCCTCGACGTCACCGGCTGATCTTGCCAGGCAACAGCGGAGCTCACACACACACACACACACACACACACACACACACACACACACACACACACACACACACAAAATTGAAACCCCTTTCCTCCGGAACTCGCCCGAGAACGCCTCCTGCAGCATCGCAGCATTGGAATTCGGACCCTCGTCTGCATCATGTCGGCAGGTGATCTCATGTCACTCGCACCAGGCAGCTGCCTTCGTCTATTTCCAGGGTTTCTTTAGTCTTGCGGTTGGCATGCAAAGGTCGTCCGTGAGCGTGTAGGGAATGCTCGTCCTAGTTGCATGCAAGACAAAGGCCTAATCAGCGCCCGCAGCCCCGGGCGAAGCACACCTTGTACCAACCAGCCGAGCTCAGAGCATCCGAGTTCGAACTGTGGATCCACACATATACGGAGTTATTGCTTAAATATGTGGAGGGCATCGAGTGTTACGCCTAACACCCGAATGTCCTTGCAGAGATACCATGAACGACCGGTTCTCCTTTTTAATGTCCCTGTGCGAAGAAACACGTGCCGTACGGCCACCCAGGTGCATCATCAAGCCAATTTGATGAGAGACACCGGATCACTGCATCTGCGAAGTGCTTCCTCTCTGTTCAGCCTGCTCCTGTCAGGTAGTCAGTCAGGTAGTCAGGTAGTCAGTCAGGTAGTCTCGGGTGGTTTCAGCGGTCTTGTGGTTGTCAGGAGGGGGTCGTCTGTGACAGTGTAGCGGGTGCTCGTCCGGGCTTGTTTTTTTCTCTACGCAGGGCCGAGCCATCCCGCATCCTGCCAGTCCGCACGATTTCTTCGGGTCGTCCTGGACCGTTGGAGACAGCCGCCTTGCGACGAGGATCGGAGAATGCTGCATGTTTGAGGCCTTTCTGTCGGCACTGCTATGTTGAGCACTCTCCTGAGTGTGTCCTCGACGAGACGGTGAAAGCCGAATCTTTCACGATGTCTCTGAAAAGCCGGGCTGCCCCTGATTGTGTGCCGGCGCCAATGGAGCAATCCACCTTGCATCTGGGAGCCTTGAGCCAGCCAGGAGCCACATTGGACGCTGACGCGAGTTGGGCCATGGCAGTGGCATTGTGCACCCCGATTGAGACCCTCTTCGACTTGCAGCTTCGCATCTCGAGGCTTTGCATTCCACACGGCCGAGAGCGCCGAGCTCGCACTTTGCTCCTGCAGAGGGCCCGGCGAAGTGCAGCGGGCGCTGAGGCAAGCAGCGGCACTGCAGCTTCGGAAGGCATCCAGAGGCTGTTCGCTTCAGTATGCTCCACTCAGGTAGTCGCCGGTGGCCTTGATGGTTGCATGGTTGGCAGGCGGCGGTGTCCCGAGAGCTTGTCGGGATTGCCGACCTGGCTGCGCGTAAAGCCGTGCAGCGCGTGATTGCCCGAGAACGCCGCGTGCAGCATCGCAGCATTGGGGTTCGGACATGTTCGGACCCTCACCAGTGGAGGCAACGTCAAGCGATGCCTGATGAGCCGCACTGCATGCAAGATTGCTTGTCTTTCAGGATGTCTCTGCAAAGTCGGGCTGCCCCTGACTGTGTGCCGGCGCCAATGGAGCAATCCACCTTGCATCTGGGAGCCTTGAGCCAGCCAGGAGCCACATTGGACGCTGACGCGAGTTGGGCCATGGCAGTGGCATTGTGCACCCCGATTGAGACCCTCTTCGACTTGCAGCTTCGCATCTCGAGGCTTTGCATTCCACACGGCCGAGAGCGCCGAGCTCGCACTTTGCTCCTGCAGAGGGCCCGGCGAAGTGCAGCGGGCGCTGAGGCAAGCAGCGGCACTGCAGCTTCGGAAGGCATCCAGAGGCTGTTCGCTTCAGTATGCTCCACTCAGGTAGTCGCCGGTGGCCTTGATGGTTGCATGGTTGGCAGGCGGCGGTGTCCCGAGAGCTTGTCGGGATTGCCGACCTGGCTGCGCGTAAAGCCGTGCAGCGCGTGATTGCCCGAGAACGCCGCGTGCAGCATCGCAGCATTGGGGTTCGGACATGTTCGGACCCTCACCAGTGGAGGCAACGTCAAGCGATGCCTGATGAGCCGCACTGCGTGCAAGATTGCTTGGCTTTCGTGATGTCTCTGAAAAGTCGGGCTGCCCCTGATTGGGTGCCGGCGCCAATTGGGCACATGCAGAAGAAATCCACCTTGCATCTGGGAGCTTTGAGCCAGCCAGGAGCCACATTGGACGCTGACGCTTGTTGGGCCATGGCAGTGGCATTGTGCATCCCGATTGAGACCCTCTTCGACTTGCAGCTTCGCATCTCGAGGCTTTGCATTCCACACGGCCGAGAGCGCCGAGCTCGCACTTTGCTCCTGCAGAGGGCCCGGCGAAGTGCAGCGGCGCTGAGGCAAGCAAGGGCAGTGCGCCTTTGGGTAGCATCCAGAGGCTGTTCGCTTCAGTATGCTCCAGTCAGGTAGTCACAGGTGGCCTTGACGGTGGATGGTTGGCAGGCGGCGGTGTCCCGAGAGCTTGTCGGGATTGCCGACCTGGCTGCGTGTAAAGCCATTCAACGCGTGATTGCCCGAGAACGCCTCCTGCAGCATCGCAGCATTGGAGTTCGAACCCTCGCCAGCGAACCCCATGCCTGACGAGCCGCGCTGCGTCATTGCGGCAGGTGATCTCATGTCACTCGCACCAGGCAGCTGCCTCCATCTATTTTCAGGGCTTCTTTAGTCTTGCGGTTGGCATGCAAAGGTCGTCCGTGAGCGTGTAGGGAATGCTCGTCCTAATTGCATGCAAGACAAAGGCCTGATCAGCGCCCGCAGCCCCGGGCGAAGCTTACCTTGGACCAACCAGCCGAGCTCGCAGCATCCGAGTTCGAACTGTGGATCCACACATATACGGAGTTATTGCTGAAATATGTGGAGGGCAGCGAGCATACCGTATACCGTATACCTGACACAATGTCAAAGGCAAGGTCAGCCAGGTTGTGTTTTTTTTGATGTGTGAAAGCCGGGGCGGCCCTCGGCCGAGCCTTGCTGACACCAGTTCTCCTCTTTGAACGTCCCTGTGCTAAGAAACATGTGCCGTACGTTCTCTCTGTTCAGCCTGCTCCAGTTAAGTAGTCCGTCAAGTTGTCAGTCAGGTAGTTTCAGGTGTCTTTACCGGTCTGGTATGGTCTTGTGGTTGGCAGGCGAGGGTTGTCTGTGAGCGTGTAGGGGTTGCTCGTCCTAACTGCATGCAAGACCACGGCTTAATGAGTTGCCGCAGCGCTGGGCGAAGTGCCCCTGGGCACAACCCGCCAACCTCGCAGCATGCGAGTTCGGATCGTGGACCCCCTTACGCCACCAGGCAAGCGCATCATCGGCCCAGCTGCCCTGCATCCGGATAGCTATTTCACATTGGCACTGCGCTGCGACTTCATGCCACATGCAGCAGGCAGTCGTCTCTGTTCATGTCGTGGCTTCAGCGATCGCGACATCTGCAGGCGAGGTGGCTGGCCGCTCCAAATGCACGCAGGACCTAGGCTTGATCAGCCCTGGCAGCCCCACGTCTTAGTACGACCAGCCAAGCTCGCAGCATCCGAATTCGGAGTTCGGTGACCCTTACTTCCAGCGCCACTTCGAGTCGTCGTCGGGCAGCTATCCTTCAATATCTCTCATCTCGCTCCGGTCAGGTAGTCTCAGACAGCGTCAGCGATCGCACGATCGGGAGGCACAGGTCCTTTCGTGAGCTTTTCGGGGGTGCCGATCCCCACCTACGTGCAAGCCCAAGCGTAATCAGCTCCGGCAGCAACAGACGAACAACTCATTGGCACAACCAGCCAATGTCGCCGCATTCTAGTTCGGATTTCGCACGGGTTGCAGGGTGTAGTATTGCAAGGGTGGCATGCTCTGTTCGTCTCGGGTTCGTCGCCTTTTCTGGAATGTGCTCAGCGTTGGAGGAAGCGATCAGCATTCGAGTCGTTCATTCAAACCGACCAAAGCCGACCGTGTCTACCTGCTCCAAGATCGGTTGGTTTGCTTTTGTTTTCATGATGTCTGCGAAAAGCTGGACTGCCCCTGCACACTCTGCCAGCAATCAACGGTACCTGCCCTCGACGTCACCGGCTGATCTTGCCAGGCAACAGCGGAGCACACACACACACACACACACAGACACACACGCAAAATTGAAACCCCTTTCCTCCTCGGGAACTCGCCGAGAACGCCTCCTGCAGCATCGCAGCATTGGAGTTCGGACCCTCGCCGCCGAACCCAGATGAGCCGCGCTGCATCATGTCGGCAGGTGATCTCATGTCACTCGCACCAGGCAGCTGCCTTCGTCTATTTCCAGGGTTTCTTTAGTCTTGCGGTTGGCATGCAAAGGTCGTCCGTGAGCGTGTAGGGAATGCTCGTCCTAGTTGCATGCAAGACAAAGGCCTAATCAGCGCCCGCAGCCCCGGGCGAAGCACACCTTGTACCAACCAGCCGAGCTCAGAGCATCCGAGTTCGAACTGTGGATCCACACATATACGGAGTTATTGCTTAAATATGTGGAGGGCATCGAGTGTTACGCCTAACACCTGAATGTCCTTGCAGAGATACCATGAACGACCGGTTCTCCTTTTTAATGTCCCTGTGCTAAGAAACACGTGCCGTACGGCCACCCAGGTGCATCATCAAGCCAATTTGATGAGAGACACCGGATCACTGCATCTGCGAAGTGTTTCCTCTCTGTTCAGCCTGCTCCTGTCAGGTAGTCAGTCAGGTAGTCAGGTAGTCAGTCAGGTAGTCTCGGGTGGTTTCAGCGGTCTTGTGGTTGTCAGGAGGGGGTCGTCTGTGACAGTGTAGCGGGTGCTCGTCCGGGCTTGTTTTTTTCTCTACGCTGGGCCGAGCCATCCCGCATCCTGCCAGTCCGCACGATTTCTTCGGGTCGTCCTGGACCGTTGGAGACAGCCGCCTTGCGACGAGGATCGGAGAATGCTGCATGTTTGAGGCCTTTCTGTCGGCACTGCTATGTTGAGCACTCTCCTGAGTGTGTCCTCGAAGAGACGGTGCAGGGCCCAAGAGGCTTCGAAGGTCGACCAAAGCCGAATCTTTCACGATGTCTCCGAAAAAGCCGGGCTGCCCGTGATTGTGTGCTGGCGCCAATGGAGCAATCCACCTTGCATCTGGGAGCCTTGAGCCAGCCAGGAGCCACATTGGACGCTGACGCAAGTTGGGCCATGGCAGTGGCATTGTGCACCCCGATTGAGACCCTCTTCGACTTGCAGCTTCGCATCTCGAGGCTTTGCATTCCACACGGCCGAGAGCGCCGAGCTCGCGCTTTGTTCGTGCAGAGGGCCCGGCGAAGTGCAGCGGGCGCTGAGGCAAGCAGCGGCACTGCAGCTTCGGAAGGCATCCAGAGGCTGTTCGCTTCAGTATGCTCCAGTCAGGCAGTCACAGGTGGCCTTGACGGTGGATGGTTGGCAGGCGGCGGTGTCCCGAGAGCTTGTCGGGATTGCCGACCTGGCTGCGTGTAAAGCCATTCAACGCGTGATGGCCCGAGAACGCCTCCTGCAGCATCGCAGCATTGGAGTTCGAACCCTCGCCAGCGAACCCCATGCCTGATGAGCCGCGCTGCGTCATTGCGGCAGGTGATCTCATGTCACTCGCACCAGGCAGCTGCCTCCATCTATTTTCAGGGCTTCTTTAGTCTTGCGGTCGGCATGCAAAGGTCGTCCGTGAGCCTGTAGGGAATGCTCGTCCTAATTGCATGCAAGACAAAGGCCTGATCAGCGCCCGCAGCCCCGGGCGAAGCTTACCTTGGACCAACCAGCCGAGCTCGCAGCATCCGAGTTCGAATTGTGGATCCACACATATACGGAGTTATTGCTGAAATATGTGGAGGGCAGCGAGCATACCGTATACCGTATACCTGACACCCGAATGTCAAAGGCAAGGTCAGCCAGGTTGTGTTTTTTTGATGTTTGAAAGCCGGGGCGGCCCTCGGCCGAGCCTTGCTGACACCAGTTCTCCTCTTTGAACGTCCCTGTGCTAAGAAACATGTGCCGTACGTTCTCTCTGTTCAGCCTGCTCCAGTTAAGTAGTCCGTCAAGTTGTCAGTCAGGTAGTTTCAGGTGTCTTTACCGGTCTGGTATGGTCTTGTGGTTGGCAGGCGAGGGTTGTCTGTGAGCGTGTAGGGGTTGCTCGTCCTAACTGCATGCAAGACCACGGCTTAATGAGTTGCCGCAGCGCTGGGCGAAGTGCCCCTGGGCACAACCCGCCAACCTCGCAGCATGCGAGTTCGGATCGTGGACCCCCTTACGCCACCAGGCAAGCGCATCATCGGCCCAGCAATTTCATGTTGGCACTGCGCTGCGGCTTCATGCCACATGCAGCAGGCAGTCGTCTCTGTTCATGTCGTGGCTTCAGCGATCGCGACATCTCGACGTCAGCGGCTGATCTTGCCAGGCGCAAAATTGGGACGCATCTCGACTTGCAGCTTCAGATATCGATGCTTTGCATTCCTCACGCCCGACGGTACCTTGCTTGCACTCTGCTCCGGAACGGTGCCTGCCCAAGTGCAGTTGCTGCGATTCTAGCACTAGTCTGCGAAGTCCAGATGGCTTGAGCGTTCTTGCTGTCAACCGACGAGGGTGCTCGTGACATCTCGTGACCGTTTTGGGGATTCCTTCCGGTCCCAGCTGCGCCAGCTCCTGCATGTAGAGGGCCTCGGGGTCGTCGTCTTCTCTGGAAGGTGCTGAGTCACTGCCAATCCTTCCAGTCCACCCGCTTCTTTCTTGCTGTCCGGGACTCCTGGGAAACAGCTGCCTCTCTGCCTCTCATCGAGAACGGAGGAAGGCAGAGGAAGTGATCAGCATGAGAGTTCCAAGGACATGGTAGACCTTGGTATTCGAACAGTCCAGCAAGACTGACCGTTTCTGCCTGCTCCAAGATTGGCTGCCAATCCTTGCTACCGTTGGTGTCCACGGCTCTTGCAGCAGGCAGACTTCTCTGTGCATGGCCGGTGAGGGTCTTCTATGGGCCTGTTGTGGGTGCCGGCTCCGGCTTCATCCAGGACGAAGGCTTGATCAGCCCCCGCATTAATGGGCCAAGTAACCAAAGGCACAAACAACCTAGCTCGCAGCATCTGAGTTCGGATTTCGGACCCGAGTGCATCATCGGGTTTCCCTGATCACTACATCGATTTGGCAGCATGCAGCGGCCGCCGTCTGTGTTCATTTCACTCCGCGGTCAGGTGTAGTCTCAGGCTGTTGCAGCAGTCTTGCGGTTGGCAGGCGGGTGTCGTCCATGAGCGTCTTGGGGTTGCTGGTCCCTGCTGCATGCAAGACCAAAACTTAATCAGCTCCCACGTGCCCGGAGAAGCACCCATTGGCACAACCAGCCGAGCTCGCAGCATCCGAATCCACAGACTGGATAGGCGTAGCGGGGTCGCGGTGGGACACCGTTCGTCTCGGGATCATCGTCTCCTCCAGAACATGCTGGGCCGCCTA